TCGCTCTCTTTCTCTCTTCTCTCTATATATATATAGAGAAGGAGAGAGAGAGGGAGTGAAAGAGGCGAGGTGGGAGAGAAGAGTAAGGGGAAAGACGAGAGAGAAGGAGGTGAGAGCAAGAGAGCAACTCCAGAGAGAGAGAGAGAGAGAGAGAGAGAGAGAGAGAGAAAGGAAGAAGCAGAGGGAGAGGGGGAGAAAGAGAAAGAGAAAGGTGGGAGAGAATCGCTATATGACAACAAAATCTCACCTGGTCAATAAGCTGACGCCGGAACGGGTTGTCCTCTTGAAGAACCGAAGCCCAGAGGTCCGGTTCACGACGCTTCACAAGATATCGTGCCTCGCTTTTGAACAGCGAGTTATCATTGCAAACCTTGTGTCAACAGACATAAAAGAACGTGTGAACGAGCAACCGAGTCCAGGTGTTTTAAATTAACATGACCAGCTGTTTGAGTACCATTAAAAAAATGGCAATCAAGGTGGGAAAAGGCATCTGTACAAGGCTAAACACTCTGGCTCTGGATATAATGTGATTAAGCAGTTACTTCCTTATCTGTCTGAAGTGTAAAGATTGATTCTACAGCAAATTACCTTGATCAGCTCCAAGTCACATTGGCCTCGTTCATAAGCAATGCAGGCCAGGTGCGGGTCACGTTTCTCACAGTATTTCCCAACAACAGCACTGTCATAGTACTTGTTCTCTCTGTGGAAATTAACGAAAATCATATAGAGATCGAATATAAATAAATAATTTCATTTACATGGCGAATACTATATACTGATGTATATATATATATATAGTTAGATAGATAGACAGATATTGATATATTACAACCATCTGTTACGAAACTAACAAACCACAGCCTACAGTGGCATACACAACTCCAGAGACACACCTGAGGAAGCGCTCCGCATTGTTGTTCATGTCAATGTAGATCTTTGCCAGAGCGTTGTGGGTAGCTGTCTCTGTGCTGCCACCATGCACCTTGCTTTCCAACCAAGGCAGCAGCAGTTTCATCCTGTAAGATATCACAAGCTACGTCATCGCCTTGCAAAACACTTTAACGACTTCACCCCCCCCCCCCTGTAACATGTGTTTTGCACGTGTTACATGAATTAGTCAGCGAGGCTAGACTAGGGTTGTTTGGTGACGGACCAGTTAGTCTGTGTAGACGCAGCGTCGCGCATATTGGGCGGCTACATTGATGTTACAGGGAGTTGGATAAGTGGGTTTTAGGTTAGGCAGTTTCTAGGGTCATTGTGAAATGGGGGTAGGACGCGGTCTGGGAGAACGGGTACATGTGCATGCAGGATGAGTTGTATGAGTTTTGGGGGGAATATATAGAAGAGAGATGTAGGAAGGGGATTCTAGTTCTGGTCGCAGAAGGAGGCACACGCGCGTATGTGCGTGTGCGCGTTCTTTGTCTCTTTGTGCGATGTGTCTGCACTGTATGAGTTATTAAAGATTATTCCGGTTACAACACAAGTCTCGCTTTATATCATCATTCTTGTTTACTCCCCGATTCACTAGTGGCACGCAGTCGGGATATTAACATCTACGACAGGGACATCAAAGGCTCAGTCTACCTAAAACGATGTCAAGTGAAACTTCAAGTTCAAAGTGCAGTCTCCTCACGTCACCTCTAAGCTAACCTTACCTGTTCTTCTTTTCTACTTCAGCAACGAGTTCGTCCACAGAGAACTGACCCTTCACGGCGACTATCAGCTGCTTAATGGTGTCCTCCGAGCAGTCGACGTCGAGAAGGCCTCCGACGACCACGGGCAGTCGGCTAGGGTTCACCTAACGATTAAATATACATAGCCACAGATGAACATGCGCAAAACTCTTACGCACCACTACGTAGCCTACACACCTTCTGCACGTAGATCTCGATGTACTTGAGCAAACGCTTACGTTTACGTGATATTACGCACCACTACGTACACGTAGCCTACGCTCTACACGTACGCATCTACACAGACGTACGCCACAGCCTACCTTCTGCACGTAGATCTCGACGTACTTGTGCAAACGCTTACGTTTACGTGATATTACGCACCACTACATAGCCTACGCTCTACATGTATGCATCTAAGCAGACGGCTACACAGACGTACGCCACAGCCTACCTTCTGCACGTAGATCTCGACGTACTTGTGCAAACGCTTATGTCTGTATGTTTACTTACGTTAGCGTATACTTACGTCTATGTGATATTACGCACCACTACATAGCCTACACTCTACATGTACGCATCTACACAAACGTCCTTCTGCACATTGATCTCGATGTGCTTGTGCAAAAGCTAATGTTCATGTAATATTACGCGCCACTATGTAGCCTACGCGCTACATGTACGCATCTACAGAGGCAGTACACTTCTACGACGCACAACACAGCCTACCTTCTGCCCATAGATCTCGATGTACTTGTGCAAAAGCTAATGTTAATGTAATATTACGCGCCACTATGTAGCCTACGCGCTACATGTACGCATCTACAGAGGCAGTACACTTCTACGACGTAAAACACAGCCTACCTTCTGCACGTAGATCTCGATGTACTTGTGCAGGTTGTTGCGGTACAGGTAGAGCACGAGGTCGTGCACAAAGTCGAAGCGGTCGCAGACGATGATCAGCGGCAGCTGGTCGGTCAGCTTCGCCTCCTTGAGGAAGTTCTTCACGCGCTCGGGATCGTAGCAGTTGCTCTCGCGGCAGATGCGCTCCACCTCCTTGATCTGTCCGGTCTTGCACGCGGCCTGCGACGGTCGACGTACGCGACATGAGAGCCGAGATAGTGCTACGTCGCCGGCTTCGACATTCTCACTAGACTACTAGCCAGCGGCATATTTTGCTAGCTGATTGTAAATGTTTTGCTAGTTTTTTTTTGTACTTTTAGCAGTATTGTTAGTTTTGAATGTTTTGCAAATGTTTTGCTAGCTGATTGTAAATGTAAATGGCTGGGTGTCACTAAATCAGGATAATATATTCGATGATGGGCGGGTATTATTTAACGCATTGCTCTTGCATTGTTTAAATGAATTTTGGTTAGCAGATTCGAAAGATAGCTAGTGGTCTTATTGTATAACTAGCCCAACAGCCTAGTGAAAAAAACACGCACTATTAACCATGCATTATATTGTGGCTATAGAGCTTGAGACAAAAACAAGGGAACAGAAACACTCCTCCCACTCATATTTGCTATTTTTGTTTGGGAAATCCACCTCTCGCATAAGGTCAATAAATTTTGTTGCAAGTTCTTGTTACGTTCCATACCTGAATGTACTTGAAGTGCACTTCTGGGTCCTGGCTAAAGTTGACAATAGAACCAAGGAAATAGAAAAGACCTGAAAACAAGTATAAACAAAATTTTCTAAACACACAATATGCACACAGGCATGCTTGCACAGGCAAGCACTTTTACAATGTTTTTACAACCTTACTAGTACTGTAGAATATATCGACAATACCATACGATAACTACGCATTTAAAAGATCAAAATGTTTTTCGAGTATCCATACAGGAACACAAAATTACCTTCAAAGCTCTTGAAGGATTCAAACAGATCGATGAGGGAGTTTGTGGTGAGCTGCTCGTGGTACTTGGTAGCGACTTGCACGGTTATCTGCAGGTTCTGGCGGATGTTAGCCGTCAGCATCGCCTTCAGGCATTCCAAGCTGTCCTCCACCGACAGCGATCCGAAGTAGACCACCAGCCACTGCAAAACACACGTCGCAATTTTACTCGAATGCTAAGATTATATACTCTACTACAGGGAAAAAATTTATTTTTCGGGGGCTACTTTTCAAGCTCGCGCCGTGCATGAAAATAGCACTCTAAAATTTGGTTTGCATTGAGCTCTATGCAAATATCCGGGGGCTCTTTTTGGCATTTCCGGGGCTATTTTTGGCATTTCGGGGGCTAAATCGCCCCGAGCCCCCGTGTTTTTTCACTGCTCTACTAATGCTAGACTATACGCACTGCGAAGACGGTGTTAAATGTGACAAATCAATCAGATCTGGTAAGCGTAACAGATCGCTAGTGTTCACATTCGTGGCACAAAGTCAGTAGACCACCAGCCACTGGTAAACACACGTCACAATTTTACTCGAATGCTAAGATTGCTTACACACTGCGAAAACGGTGTTAAAATGTGACAAATCGTCAAAGCAATCAGATTCTGGTAAGCGTTAACAGACCGTTAGTGTTTACATTAGCTGACTATAAAAACTCTTTTCACATTTTAGTAGTCATGTTTAGTCACTCGAAAATAACTCTGCAAAAGCGACTACTGCTCAACTATAACTCTGTGACTACTCTACAAACAGTGCAGCGAACAGACATGTCTATAAGAAGAGCTAGTATCGTCTACTACTACGCAAACAAGTGACAAGTGATTGGGGGATCCCAGATTTCCGTCTTACCATCTCCACGGTAATGCAGTAGTAACTCCACGGGAAGTTACAAATAATATATAAGTTATATGTTAATTTATGTAAGTAACAGTAAGTTAGTTAGAGCACGCTTTGCAGTTGTTAATGCCGACAAAGGACTGTAACCAGTGCAGCACCTACCGCCCTACATACCTCGGGGTTCAGCAGGTGCGTGTGAACTACAGCACGCTTGATGTCGTACAGGTCCGTGTAGTGTTCCAGCGCCCTCTGAAGGAGACCGGCCTTCTCGCAGAGCTGAGCGATGTGCGCGCGATCGTAGTGCGTGAACATCTGGTTGCCAAGTATGGCATCAGCGACCTATAAACACACGAGTAATAAGTGACGATAAAGATACTATGGCCGGACACTATCAAACGTAAATACATCCCCTCACAAACACATAGTATTGAGTTGATGCTATTGACGATTGAGTGCTTGCTAATGCAGGCACAAGCAACTTTACACTCGTAATTTTATACGTAGCCGATTCTTTCGCCGCTCGACGCCCGTGAGTTTACCTGAGGTGCTGACATGAGGTTCATCTCAAGGAGACGAGTCTGCAGAGCGCCCTCTGACGGCCGGTTGTTCTTCAGAGCGTCGAGTAGGAAGGACGTGCACTGCTGAATCAGGTTCGACTCCATGAAGATGTCGACAATCTGGCGCAAGAAAACAGGGAAGTGTAATTTCCACAAGAGCCCTACACCTTTTGTACGAAGACAGGGAAATGCAATTACTTTTTAACATATTTTGAGGTCCCAAAAGGCACAGAGCCATACCGGGTATGACAGCAATGCGAATTCACTGCCATCGTTATTGTTTGGGGGGCACCACGACAAGGAGGACACTTCAAGATACGACGGCAACGGTGATTAATTGCCATGGTTATCGTCTGAGCTTTAGGGGCACCACGATAACGAGGGGGGCAGCATCAAAATTTCCAAAGTTGCCTTCGGAGCAAGTGTAATTAGGCCCCTACCTGTAATTAGTGTAATTACACCCAGGTACAGCCCCCTACCTGGTTGATTTCGGCGAGTGGCTCCTCGTCTGCGACCAGCATCTGCGCGAACTGCAGTCCCTGGTCGGGGCTGACCCTCATCACACTGCGTAGCAGGAAGATGTAGTCCGGTGTGAAGCCCAGCTTCTTCGAGTAGAGGATGATCTTCTGGAACTGTCCCGTCTCCGCAAAGCACTGGATCACCTGAGAGAAAAAAAGCAACAAAATGCAACGAATGCCTCCGGATGTCCCTTATGTTTACAACAAAGTCTCAGCAGCCTTATTTACTTATTTCGATTTCAATATCTCAGAACTGTCCTTAGTTCCAGTGAAGCTTTTACTAGAACTACTTCAGTAGAACTAGTTTCTAGTTTCTACCGCAGTGTTTCACATGAATGTGCTGGCACATAAGCCTGGATCAGCAATGCCCGCACATTGCGAATGCTCGCATCCATGCAACTTACTTTGTTCGGTACATTGGCCCGTAGGTAAACGGCGAGTGCTAGAGTTGGGTCAGCCTGCTTCACCAAGTCACCAAGCTCCTCACTGCATTCAAGCTGTCAAGAAAAGAAACATTCAAACTATAAACACAAAATACAAGAACTGCAGGAAAACCATACGAAACGCTATCTCAGTTAGCGGCTAACTATACTGGTTGCTAATCAGAGGGATATCATATAGGAAATGCTTAATTCCGCATCTCCTAAGTGTTCGAAAATTTACTCTTCAATGTGAAACACTACATAAAACATCTCCACATTCAGAGATTAGCGGCGAAAACGTGACTAAAGAAAAGTTGGTAAACTGGTAAAAGGAACATGGGCTACTCCCAACGTCAGACACTTGCCTGTTCGCCCTTCAGCCACTTCTCGATCAGCTGCTTGCGACCTTGCTGCAGTACGGGACGGCACAGCTCGATCGACTCGTACTTGTTCAGCTGGCCCTGGTCCAGCAGGATGCTGAAGTACTGCAGCTGCGGCGACGTCTGGCCCGCCTGAGTAGGAACCTGCTGAAACTTCTGGATCGTCTGTGGAGTTCTCAGGATGCCCTACGTAGCGGAATGTCAGATGTCAGCAACCAACACGCGATACCATTAGGCGACGTGTCACGTCGGGTGGACTCAGCCACTGCATGCGTGCTGGGAGAAGCGCGAGAGAGCGTATTACTAACTGACTAACCGACACGGCAACGCGAGGTCATCACATGACGTTATATTATTATTATATATTACTATATTATTGAAATTAAATTATTATTATTATATATTACTATATTATTGAAATTAAATTATTATTATTATATATTATAATATTGTTATATTATTGAAGGTAACGTGAGGTTATATTGTCACGCGGAGTCGGCAAACGTGCGCCCGCGGGCGAAAACGGACATGAGCGCACACATGTCGCATGGATCTCACCTTGGGGGCGCTAGCGGCCACCTTGGCCGCGTCCGAGTAGCTGCCCTGGTTGAACAGCGTGTCGAACTTGCGCACAAACAGCTCCTCGGCGCCGGCGAGGTTGTTTCGCACCGCCATGCGCAGAGCGAGGTCCGGGTTCTGCAGCACGTTGGTCACGTAGGGAACGATGGTGTCCTCGTCCACGCTCACCGACAACACCTGTACGAAACACACGACATCTCGCTGATGACACGGCACACAACACCGCAGCCTCTCTCACCGACGTGACAGCAGCTGCACGAGTACTCGAGAAAATAGCAAAAGTCAATGTGTGCACGCACGCACCATGCACACACACACACGCACGCATGCACGCATACACACACGCAGAAACACACAGATGCACATATGGACATGCACGCACGCACACACACTCAAACACACAAATGCACTCACGCACTGACGTTTGCGCGCAAACACTACGTCATACCTGGCCCTTCCTATTCACTCCAATAATGCCGCTGGTGGCATCATGAGGTGCCGTCACAAAGATGGTCTCGCCGCTGATGCGGTTCGTGTAGATGCAGGTACCTAGCTCGAGGTCGTACAAGTGGATGTAACCGTACTTGGTGACCAGGAAAATGACGTCGTACTTCTGGCTCACCTGTAACAGCATGAGAATGCTTACATCTATCGCTGTGCACCAGGTTAGGTGGAGCCCTCCCTTCCATCATTAGAATACAACTGTACAACCGCAACGATATTAAAACACCAGTTAGATATCCAAAAAATACTGCTTGTATTACTGCTTATTCATTGCTACGAATATAAAATGGGTACACTCGTGGGTCGTAGTAGCGATCGAAAGGAGGTTAAAGAAGGAAGCATACCTGCATGGCAACAGGAAAGTCGTTCTGTGCCTCGGGTGGAAAGAACACATCAACCGTCTTCTTCTGGAATGGTGTGTTTCCCGTTGGCGCTGATCCTACCTCTATGATGTGTAGCTGCAAACAGGAGACAGGGGTCGAAATTAGATTTTTATTATGGTATCCATTCGGGATACCAGGTATTGAAATCTGGTATCCACCCCAAAGATCTGGTATCCCATTTTTTGGATAGTAATTTCAACGATGTTGGCATCCAAAATCTTGAAATATGCAATAATAGCATTTGAAAATTATTAACATGTAATGTAATTATTATATAAAAACATGAAAACATATTCACAGATATGCACAGACAAGTACACTGCAGACGTATTGTCTAGACGCATTGTCTGGTTCGCTTGATACAATGTATACACATCCCGATTTTTACTATCCCGGCAGGATACCAAGCATTGAAATCTGGTAGCCAACACAAGAATCTACTATCCCGCGGATATCGGGATACCGCTAATTTCGACCCCTGAGAGTACTAGCCACATTAGCTTCTCATTCACAACCACTTGATTTCAATCTTCGTGCGCATCTCACAAACAGAGACAACGCAAGGGACAAAGTATTCTGCGATCACAGTGAACATTGGATGACTGCCACATGCGTCACGACAACGCGCAATTTGCTTTCGTGTAGCTGCCACAAACATGCGTGCCTCGTATCGCTGCCGCGACGCTGTGAACTAACCTTGCCACCTGCTGCTCCTCTGACTGCAAATGTAAACAGGGTCGACTCCTGTGCATTGCCCTCCATCTTAAACTGCGCAAATGCGGCAGCGTGGCCCTCTATCGGCTGACTGACCTTTCTCTCAACGGAGTACAGCTGCATGGCACCCTGCACACGGTTTTGCTGTGGAGTGGGGAAGAGACACATATTACAATAACATTTCAGCTGATGTACACATGCACGTTCCGCACCATCTATAGATTGAAATTTAAATATAACTTCTGGTCACATTTCAGAATAACACTGAATAACCATGTGGCCAGATATATATTTTTTGTTTTATGTTAAAATGGCTACTTGACACATTTTCTAACACTCTTAACACCTCTACATTTTCTGCACAAACCTGTGCAGATATGCCAATGACCAGCAGCCACTGTTGCTTCGAGTCAGTTCTGTAGTTGATGATCTGACATCCAGCCAAACTCGAGTGCCTGTCGAACATCTTTACCGGCTGCGAGTCTCCATCCATTGCCCAGTGATAAACTGCACACAACACCACCACACAGCTATGACTCACACTGCCAGTTACTAAACAGGGCATGTTAGAGAAAGAAATATTGTGGCACAGACAAACTAAATGGAAACGTTAAGCTATTTTAGACTAATTTATTTAGGCTATTTTAGGTAATTGCTTTTACATTACGATGTTTAGCAAGTAACAGTGTGTGTGTAGTAGTTACCTGCAGTTTCGGTGACCATTGCTACAGTGTTAACATTGATCCACTTCCAGAACTGTATCTCATCCACCATCTGATGTGCTTTCATTTTACTCTTCATCTCAATATTGAAAATCTGCAGCAATTTGCCCGCTGAAAATTAAAACAATCTCATGTAGATTTCTATCTGATCATACATTCACCTGTAAGTAAGAGTGAAGGTTAATTGCAACTGTTATAATACATATATATAGGAATAGGTAGTGCAGCATTATCTTGAATATACAACAATTGGCCATGCGTCTTTCATACGAAGTTGAACCATCCTGTATGTTAAAATGGTACACCAGACACTGACTATTGTATCTTCTTACCAGTATTTTTACTACCTAGCCTAAGTATTATTTACTCAAATGTCACTTGATGTTTACTATAGCTAAGTTTTCATATCTGCCCCATTCATCTTATTCTTTTTACTTGGAAACATCCTTTAGCTTTCGAAAGAAACTTTTAATTATGGTAATAATGGTGAATGATATCAATATTCATCACCGTTTATACCTAGATCAGTACATTTCATTAAATACTAATTAAGCTTAAATACATTGAAAGTTTTTTTCTTGCATATTCCCTGTTTAAAAGTGGTGCATCTAATATGCCTAGGGGACTAATATATCAGACCTGCCAACCTGTGATTCATGAAAATAGTAAGGCATCACTTACTTTATAGGAATTAATGAATTTATTAATTATCTGTTCAGATAAAATCTGAAATGACTTATATAACAAAAATTGAAAAAAAATTCAGAAATTTCAATGCCAACAAAAAAACTGAGTGATTGGACTGTTTTCAATGAGAAGGCAGGAATAAGGCAGATGAGTCTCAAGTAAATTATTCTCTAGATCACGCAAGAACAACGTGAACGCGTGATCCAATATGGTTGCGCCCACAATCGCCAGATATTTCTCGTCTCACAATGTAAAAAACATTAATTTTCACAAGTCGTAAAAAATCGTAAGTTTTTCAGTTTGATCGTACATTCGAAAAAATCGTAAGGGTTGGCAGGTCTGATATATGCTATCAAATACAGTAACAACTATAAGCTGACAGACACAACCACCTACTATGACCCAAATATAGAATTATACGTACCCTTCAATGCAATTACTTTGCTGGCGGGGTTCATCACAGCTGAGTCAGCTGTGATTGGCCGGCGTATTGGATTAGCGGTATCAGCAAGGTCGATGATAACAACCTGTGCCGTCTCGCCGACCTTCTCTCGGACACAGATGTACTTGTCCGACTCCATCGTGAGTGTGGAGAATCCGATGTTCGCGGCATTGATGCCGATATTTTGAAGCTGAACGCAAAAATTTAAGATTAAACACTAAGAAATGTAAGATTGTGTTGCGAATGCTTTCTGCTACTCTGAAGTAAAGCCTGTGCATCTACTCCTAATAGTTATTTCCAAAGCAACAGAAACTCTATTTAGACTGATCAGTGGCATAGTGGCATGTTTATATTGCATGTATTTACGAGATACACGAGTAAATTTTATTTATACATCCACACAGAATTGCATCAACCAAAGGCAAAGGCTGTTGCCTAATTTTTGTACTGAAATGATCCTTCAACGTTAGCTAGGATAACAATTACAAAGAAATGAAACTTCTATTGGTTTAAATCACATACTATGGTATTATACAACAGACAACGTGATAATTAGTCATTCTGTAGTAAATTCCATCTGCTGCTTCCCTGTTTTTGAGGGCAATATGAGAGTGAGATGAGATGATAAACTTCGTTTATAATTATATACCCCTTTTAAACATGAACAACTACACTGTAGACTAGTCTACAACACATATTATCCTAAAAGTTATCTATAACGTGACAGCATGAGATGTAGCTCTGCCAGAATATCTACTAATTCAAATTTTTATTTTCATTAATAACACTGTAATATGATTGCAAAATGTTGAATTGAAATAAATTTTACCAATTTAGAAATAGGAGCGTTCAAGTTGGTAAACAAACTACGTCATTTTGGCTCATGCGCAGTTTACTGGTTGGCAAAAGGCATTGCTTCTAAACCGTGTTTATGCGGTGGCATTGTAAAAAGAAACGTAATGAGCCATAAACAGGAATATATACCAGTGCAACGATGGAAAACTTCAAATCGTTTCAAGCTTATCAGTATTAAAGTATATTGTTTACAAACATAAATTTTGCCAAAATCTTTACTTGTAACCATG